GACGAAGCTGACGAGGCCAGACATCGCCCTGCCTCTGAACAAGCTTCAGAAGATCGCCCACTCACCCACCGGGGGGATATGGAACGCGCTTGTGCGGATCATGTCCTTCCTGAACTTCACGAAGGACTTCGGCATCACTACGTGCGGGGGTCAGGACTAGACCTAAGCGTGTTTGTCGATGACAGCTACTCTGACAACGAAGTAGACAGGCGTTCCACGACCGGGCTAGCTGTGACCGTAGGTGGTACCGTAGTGTGTGCATCCACCAAGACGCAGCCAGTGACGGCTCAGTCGACCTCGGAAGCAGAGTATATGGCAGCCAGGGAGGGCGTGAAGGAGGAGTCGTTTTTGCGGGGCGTTCTGTCGTTTATAGCACCCGAGACGAGTGGGGCGAAGATCAAAGTCCTTGAGGACAACAGGGGGGATCTCGCCTAAATCGAGAACCCGTTCAGCCCAGCGAGAAGCAAGCACATCGACGTGCGGGTCCATTTCATTCGCGAGCTATCCAAGTCGGGCAAGGTCACTGCAGAGTATGTCCCGACTGGCGAGCAGCACGCCGACATGCTGACCAAGGTCCTTGGCAGAGATAAGTTAGAGTACCACAGGAAGGCTTTGATGAACCTACCGATGTAGTGTTCTCTTGTTCTGTTTGGTTTATGTGGTGGTTTTAGCACTTGGCATATATGACCATGGTACGTCACGCAGGAAGCGTTGTGCCGGCGCGTCACCCGCGGCTGGAGCCTAGAAACGCCGAGGGCGTTGCTTCGGGTGTGAAATCAGCGTGACCGGTTCAATCTGTCCTACCTTGGTCTTGTCTTGGAAGTGTGGCCGTTGGAATCCTCCGTGATAGCGACGATTTTCTATATTTAGGGTGTTAGACGAGGGTTTTTGATCCTGTTGGCCGGCTTTTCCCTCGAGCCTGTTGTTGTTTTGAGTCCCTTTGGTAGATCAGGGGTATCCATGCCCCACGTTAGGTTTGCCATTCGCGTGCAAACGGGGGAGTGTGTTCGTGTGTTTGGATACGGACTGGTAAGATCTACCGGCAACAATAGAGGGCACGCAGATGGGGTATATGTACACCTTGAAATTATTGCATGTGCGGGGACCCCTCGAACTCCAAAGAGGGCTTCACTTCTCCCTACTCCCCTTGCGTGTCAAATACAAGAGATAAAACGTCTTCCCCTTCCAAGTAAAGGACGTATACGAACAGGAACGACCCGCACCCTCTGCTCTTCAGTGTATCTACGGAGCTAGGAACAGCAAGTGCACAGTTGTGTTGAGAGACAACAAGAAAGAGACAAGAACACTATCAAAGTAGGTCATCATCAAGGTCTTCAGGGATAGCTACGCGGTTCTTTATCACACTTGGCGTCGTTGAGTTACTGGGTCTGAGCGTGTGTTGCCCCCAAGCCTGTCGATGGTCCTCGAGATTGTTCGAAACTCTGTCCGTAAGCAGTTTCCGACTTGTGTTGTATCCCGGCGATTCGGCAACTGCGGTAACAACGCCGTTTGCTTCGATAGCTGCTATGTGGGAGGCGTCCGCGTCTCCAGCCACTAGGTTATATCCTGCGAACGGGGGTTCCAACTTTTTTTTTTCTGTATTCGATGCCCGGCTCCTCGCAGCCTCGGCGTTCGCAGAGTCAGAACCGTGCGTCTGCACCTTCGGTCCAGTGGTCGCCGGGTGCTGCCCAGAACTCTGTGCTAGAGGTAAGTTATCAGGAGAGCGGTGTGGATCCTTTCACCCGTGATTACTACAGAGCGACTGGGTGTCTCGTCTAGGAGAGGACCTCGTGGCCTTCAACATGGGAGATGAAAGGGAAGGGGGGAAATCGAAAGAGAGCGCCAAGGACCCGGAGGTGTGGTACAACAAGGTCGAGGACGGGGCGGCATGGTTCATGAGGAAACAGCACAGGCAGGAGGCGGAAGCGTCCAAGAAGCGGAAGCGCGCGAGGGAAGCAGAAGCAGAGAATACGGCCATCTCCGGACCGAAGAGAAAGAGAGTCGGGGAAGCGGCGGTGGGGGGGAAGAAACCGCGACCGGGCACTGCTGTAGAAGCGAGTAGGGCGGCCGAGGCAGCACTTTTGGCGAGCTATGTACCCGGTTGATGTTGTTGCGCCCTGTTTCCCTCCCTGCTGTATGCTATACTCCTCAACGTATGTCCTTTGTATTCCCTTCGGCCTCTGTGCTGTGTTTCTTTTTTTCATGTCCTCCCTGCCTACTCTGCTGTGTTGGGTACCTTGATCTCGCTTTTGCTGCCGCCTTTGTGTTTGTACCTCTGGCTGTCTGCCCATCTGCCGCCTCTTTGTCCTGTTTGCTCCGTTACTCCCATGCCCTGGTGCGCAGTGCCTGGTGCTGGTACGTTATCTTTTGATTTTTTCTTTGGGCGGGTGTGGGAAGCGTCCTCCTTTGTTTTTGTTTTTGTTTCATTTTGATCGGTTTCCGAGGGCTCTTTTCTCGAACGGTCGGTGCGATACCTGTTCTTTTCTTTCTATCCTTTTGTTTTCTTTTTCCGAGTGGTTTGTACCCCATTTTTGTTTTGTTTCCCCGCGGCGTCGTATATGCCGGGTTTGGAGCCCACGGGCTCCCCATTTTTTGTGGACTATAGATCTAATGTGAGAAACAACAACAACTACAACTCCTGGCCTGCGAGGCAGGAAGGTTGGTCGACTGTGTATAACGTCAGCTCTTCCTTTCGAAATGACGACCCATTTTAGACTAATGGACTGCTCTTTTGACACAAGATGCTCGCTCGAAAGCATTCAGAGAGCACCGTAATCGTTACCTGAATTGTGCTGGCGACGACTCCTCCATGAAAAACTGCCAATCAATCCCCGTTCATCAACTCTAGTGGGTTGTTGAACCCAGAGCTCGGCGAACTGCAAGATAATTCTGAAGCTTCTAGGCGTTGGTAAGGTCGTGTGAAGTCCCACCGTCGCAAGCAGCACCACGGTCCCATTCTAGTGGTAAGCGCAACGCGCGCCCCACCTCTTCTTCTCAGCGTAGAAATCACGCTAGAAGTCATCATTCCTCCGGTGATTCCCACAATAACACTGGTGCCTACAATGGCAATTTTGCTGCACACAATCAGGAACACAGCAACACCCACCACACTAGTGCTTTGCAACATCAACCCCAATCTGCTCCCGCGGTTCAGACGGCTTCGTCCTCCGGTGTCGTGGTTTCGACCAATTACAACGCCCGACAGCCGGGAAACTTCCGCACCGGAAGCTCAGCATGACTAATCGGTGGCGGTTCGTGTACCTCCCCCGAGCCGCCTTTGGCACCATCGGGAAATTTGGCACGTTCTTCACAAGACATACGTGTGTCAGGGTTGGAGGTGCCATGCGCTCCTGGCCCGACGAACAGCCGTGCTCTTGAAGCAGCTGCTGTTTCTTATTGAATCTCTGTCAGACAGGCAGGGAACGCACACAGTGGTGTTGTTCCCCCTCTCCTGTCATTTTATCTGCGACGTCTGCTACTTCGCCTCTTCGGACTGTTACTTACTTGGGGAATAACCCACCTAATGGGAGTGCTGCCTTGAGGTGCGGGAACAGAGCAAAAAGACGGGTTGGGCCAATGAGATTATCTCGACAGCTCCCCCGACCCTCTGCAGGTCAGCCTTGCATGCACCAAGCGTTTCCTACGATCTACGAGAATTCGTCGGAAGGTGGTTTATTCAGATGAACTTTCTAGTTTTTCTGATTCGTCTGGACTCGCCTCCGCCGTTGATTCGCCAACGGCGCGGGCACCGATAGCGGTTTCGTCAGGTCACAACCGACGATTGTCACATCCCGAGGTTAACGCAACCCCATGTCTACCAACGAGCGGTCGTGCAGCGCTACATAACAAAGAGCACACCCTGCCACCGACGTTGACAGTGCTGACAACACCGTCTCTTGAGGACGCTAGAGAGGCGCCCGCCGTTCATTCGGCGTGCTCGCGGTCTGCGTCAAGAGGGATATTGGCCAGGAGTCACGTGCACCGTCCGAAATTTTGGCAGACAGCACACGCCTGGCCGATCCTAGCGAAAGCGATCTATATCCCCGCCGGTCCGGTACGGATGCGGGTACGGTCCAAGATCTAGAGACGAACAACCTTATACGGCGAAGGGTGGCGACCCCGTTTGTCGCGGCGAATTCGGCAGTGGATTCGAATTCTCCGAATGACCCCGTTCCCGGTTGAGGAACTCCAGCGGTGGGTGAAACTCCCACTCCCACTCCTGGTGCTCGGCAGCCCTCAGAAGGTGCTGTTTTTGACACTTCCGAGGAGTATAGCAATTCAGACATGACTTTGTTCTGGAAAACTCCCTCCCCTTTCTGTCAGTGGACACCCTCTACTTTCGTAGTTGATGGTGTTTATTTCTTGTGTGCCGAGCATTTTTCGTTGCCGAAAAAGCTAGTCTCTTTTGGAGATACATACATTCTTCAGTGCATCATGAGAGTTTCTGACCCCAGCCTTAACAACAAGAAGAATGGCCGTGAGGTTAGTGGTTTCGACCAAACTCTGTTTTTCAAGAGCGCAAAAATATCGTGCTCACCAAAACAGAGGTGGTGTTAATACCGTCGATGACAAGTCTTTCACCACCAAAATCCTTACTCACAGTTGTTCGGCCAATGCTCAGTTTGGGTGTGGCGTTGCTGGATACCTGCTCCCCGCAATCGTTCATCAGGTCCCGTGCTTGGGAATCCATGAAAACCGTTGGTGCACCTTCGTCTTTGTTTGAAACACGCACAACACCTCGGTGTTGGGGTAGGTTTGGTGAATCCGCCCCCCTTTAGACGTCGATATCGGTCCATTTGAGCGTACAGTTTCTTCGACGTAAAGTTCCGACCGCGTCTTTTGCCGTATGGGCGTACGTTGTTCCTGATGGCGTTATGCATCACGACGTATTGCTCGGCAGAGATAGCTGGATGCGGTTTAGCGACCGCTCCCACCGCACTTTAGTCTCGAAGAGGCCTGGAGACTGTGTTCTCGGCGAACTCACTTTGGCCCACCACAAGAAGAGTGGCGCAGAAGCGATCGTTCGCGATGTCTCCGCGTCCGCGGGGAATTATCGGCTTAGGCATGCATATGCTATTAGTAAACACTCCAATCAATTGTTACCTGAGCATCATGGATCAAGTTGATATGGTACGCAGCGATGGTTCACCTGCCCTAGTGGGCATCTTCTTGGTGAATGTGCCCCCTCAAACGTCCATGTTTCCGTCTGAAGAACATTTCGTCACGCATGGCCGTCAAAGTGTACCGTTGGCGGGTGTTTCGAGCTTGGAGCCCGGAGATGTTTTGGGTACCGCTTCTGTGCCCGTCCTTGAAGTACCTCTCAGCGCTATCCCGCACGGCAATTTGAGCGCCTGTCTTCAAAACGCCGCCGTTCCGCCGGACGCCGCTTCTGACGCTTCCAGCTCCGCTGATTGCGTCCCTGGTCCTGTCTTGCCCGATGGTGACCCTCGTTCTGCGGTGCCACCGACGATCGATCCGTTTGTGTACAACCTTCATGAACGTTCTGCCAAACCGGCACATGCGACGTGTGGTGACGGGTCTCCATATGACATCTTTGTTTCACCTCCGCAGGCCTCTCTGGAACCTTTGACCCCGGAACAACGTGCACGTTTCTCCTTCATGTGGGGTAAGCTTCCTACTCATCTGAGAGAGATCACGTTCAAATTACACTGTCCTGGTTGGACGCCTGAAGTATCACCCAGTTGGGTAATGTTTTGTGCGAATACCATGATGTGTTTTCCCGGCCAACGGGTATCGGCTCCATGCTCGCTGTTCAAGCTAACCGTTCCGCCTGGCAGTGAGCCAGTCATCTCTCGCCCAAACCGAGTTAACCCTCCAGCGGCAAAGCAAGTGGATGCTATTCTCGACCAATATATTGCTGCGGGTCTCATCTAACACTCTACCTGTCCGTATTCGAGTCCTTTGGTAGTTATCTCCAAGAAATCTGGTGGTGTGCGCATCATTGTCAATCATTGCAAGTTGAATAAGCTTTGTGCGCTGAGCAGTCGACGATGCTCTGAACAAGGTGTTGAAAGGGAAGATTATTCTCTCTTCGACATGAAGTCTCCGTTCCATCAAATCACCGTCCACCGTGACACCATCCCGCTCACGGCGTTTGTTACGTCTTCTGGGATTTCTGAGTGGAAGAAAATGCCTCAAGGTAGTTCTGCCACTCCTGGATGGTTTTGTAAGGTCGTCAACGAAGTCATCACCAACCTTCGCGGTGTCGCTTCGTACTTGGACGATTTGCTTGTTTTTGATGAGACCCCAGCTGCTCATGTAGCAACCATTCGCTCTCTTTTCGAAAGATTGAGTTTGCACAATTTGAAATTGACGCCTCCCAAAGCGCCACTATTTGCGCCACGGAAGCGGAATTTCTCGGGCACACCGTCTCTCCAGACGGTGTCAGGCCTAATGGTGACAAAGTTGCTGCGCTCACCAAAGTGCCTCTGCCCAAAGACACCAAGCAGCTTTGCGCTCTCCTGGGAGGTCTGAACTTCTACCGGAGGTTCCACAAATGGCTAAGCGTGTCCGTCCCCTTACTAACCTTCTCAAGGAGAACGTGCGGTTTGAGTTCACGGATACTATGGAATCCCCCGTTCGGGATCTCCTTGCCGAATTGGCAACTCCGCCATTTTTGATATATCCAGACTGGGATGCCGTCTCTGACGGTCGCGGCCCTTTCCGCCTCTATCGTGACGCGAGCCGCCATGGGTTTGGTGGCACTCTTGAACAAGAGCAACCTGATGTTTCTATTCGGCCTATCGTTTTCGTCAGTCGAGCGACTTTGGAGTCGACAATAAGCGTCATTGGACTCCTCGATCTAAATGCCGGCAGCATCACTTGGTGCATTAAACGTCTTCGTGGGTATCTCTGGGGTACCCACTTTCAAGATTTTCACCGACCACAAGTCTCTCAAGCATTTGGTGAAATTTCGTGACAACAACGCCCGTGTACAACGTTGGCTGGAGTTTCTCACCGCGTACACCTACACTCTTGAGTACCGCAAAGGTTCCACGAAAGGTAACGCCGACTTCCTTTCTCGCTTGCCCATGGAAGCTACCGAGCGTGACCGTTCTGGTCGCAGTCGTTTGACTCCAACGGCATTCGATGAGGCTGTATTTTTCATCCGTATTTGCGGTCTTCTGCCTTCTGGCACCCGTGCGGGTGTTGACTTGGGTAGGCTCCTTCCGTCTGTTTTGAGCTTTGTTTTGGGTGGGCTAAAACCTTCTCCCGCTCACTTTGCTGACTTTCGGGACCATGGTCCGCGAATGACTAGTCTACCCCTGACGCTTCTTCCGGGTAAAAGTTGGTGCCGGACTTGCCGCCGACCGTCACCGGTGCCTTGGGTTATGCGGTTGGTCACAATCGTCCTCCCTTGGTTCCGTCCGACCATCCTGTTTTCCTGCCCGCACAAGACTTTCCCGTGGAAAATGGGGGCGACAACGTGCGTGTTCCCTCTTGCAGAGTCTCGCGCCCACCTTCACTTGATCCAGACGAAGTGATTTCAACACGAACATGTAGGCGTACGGCAGCTGTTAATCGGGTTTGTCGGGCTCTGAGGATACGCCTCCTGAACCTTCGGTGACCACTCCTGTGACTGTTGCACCTAGTGCATCTCCTTCGTCGGATCGCCGATCGATGGATTCCGTCAGTCCGACGCCCTCGGGCCAGGTTTCGCTAGCCACTACTCGCGTGAGTGCGTCCACATCGGCGTCCACATTGGCTGGGGTTCTATGTTGCCACGAATTTCATTTTACGAGCGCGGTACACTCACAAGAGTATAAATTAAGTATATATATGAAGTATAGACTGCACTCCATGCTCATCCATCAGCTCCACTTATACAGCGCGACCCCAACGAGAAAACTAGTTTTGCCTGCGGGAAACGCTCACTGCATATGTGGTCTGCCTGCCGCCGTCTCTGGGAGTAGCAAGGTTGGTACCATTCGCCTGGAATGTGTTTGGCTAAAGCCACATTTCTCTCTGGAATTCCTGACCACGACGACTCCTTCAATGTCAAGACAAAACTACAATAAAGGCGAACCAGAGAGCTCCTCACGACCAAGGTTCCTGTTGGATTCCTCCTGCAGTCCGCTATCGCACGTTGTCGTCGCGTCATTTCGTTCTTCAGATTTATTTTCTGAAGTGAGACCATCACAACCACGAACATACGCCATGTAACTCGGCATTTCAGGTTTAGGTTTAGTTTTTTAGGGTTAAGGCTAAGGTTAGGTTTAGGACTCGTCTTTTTATTAACAGCTTCTCCAACCCATCCTTATTACAGAGCTGTTGCATGCCATGCGTACCTCCATTCGATAAACGGAACTGCACCTATCCGTGCAGGTGTTCAGATCAGACAAGATATGGCTCGACAAGACGAAGCAAGGCGAAAATACATCAGACTACCTAAAATACTCCCGCATGTACGGCGGCAGAGCGTGTGCACCACCGGAGCAGCCGCAGTATATGGCGCACTACAACGTGAACGTCATGGGCCAACCGTCTGCCCGGTGCTGTCCAGTAGACTAGCCCGTCGTGCGTTCTGCCCAGTTCACCACACCGCTACTCGAGGGAGCGTGCTACATACATTCATCAAACCACGCCAGGGTGATCTTTGCTCCCTACTTCTGAATCAAGCAAAAAACACTGTTAAACCGAAAACAAAAACAGGCATCACTGAAGTAATATCTCGAACGGGCAGTCTTTCTGTGAGATAATGTTTACTTTCTAAAAAACAGGATCACAAAACACAGGATTGCCAACTTGTCCAATATTGTAGCGCTCCACAACCTGTACAACGACCAAACGTCAGTCTACTTGTCCATGCTGTTGGAGACAGCGTCGGCGGCGCCCTTGATCTGGCCTTTGGTGGCGTCGACCACAGACTGCGTCTCAGACGCTGCCTCATTTTTCGCGGATTCGGCGCTGGACTGGGCGTCCTTGACGGCAGCGTCTCCCGTGTCGATCGCAGACTTGGTGGCGTCGACGGCTGTTGCAAGGGTTGGAAGGAGAAAAGTTCAATATCTGTAGCATGTATGATACATAAGAGTTGTCAGGCGGCGCGGGTATACAGCAAATGGTGAGCACCGTGAGACATGAGATGGCGATGAACCTCGCTCCGTTTCGCGCGAACGCAGATAAATACCGCGGAGCCTTGTACGGTGCGGCGCGTGGCAGGGGGGGAGACACCAACACATTCGTTGGTTAAATAATTCCTTGCCCTCACCGTTTCGTACACATCAAAACATCCTACACTTTCGGGCAGAAGGAAAGTCACAACCTTTTGCTTCAGTTTCGTAGCACGAAGAGAAGAAAATAGGGACTTTGTCGAAAGAAGTGACTCAAACACAAGCATGGCAACGTATGTGTGGCTATGGTGCACAAAAGAGCAAGGAGGCAAGTTCTTGGAAGTTTTTCGCTCAGAGGGCCACGACGGGCGTTGAATTATTACAAGCGGTAATTCAAACGTAAGTTCGTCAATTCTACGTACGTCTCGACGCATTTACAGTAAATCTTCCATGTCAACAGAACATTGAAAACGAATATTGGAATCAATCCGTCAAGCGTGGCGGCATCAGCCGCGAAACACGATGTACATATTTCGTAGGGATGAAGCCTTGTGCCAGGCCGTGCAACGGTAATGACCAAACAGCCGTGACAAAAAACTGAAATACAGCCGAGAATGACAACACAAATGTTAGATATACTCGTAGCATAGTAATGTGGTTGAGTATGGGACATGGATCTACGGAGATTGCAGTTGGTAGATCGCGGAGGAACAGGGAGTTTCTGCTTGGTTTCTTCGGAGATTCGATGAGTGATCTGAATTGCGTGACGGATAGGTGTGGTGACGCACTCTTCGGCTGCTCGGCCTCGAGTGGTCTCTGCCCTTCCCTCTTTCCTCTAATACAAGACTTTCCCATCTCGGCCCTCACTGGCCGAGCTGCCTTTCTCCACAAACCTACAAGCTTCGGCCTACCCGGTTTATCCAACACGCTAGCATTAACGACTTTGTCGAGGGTGATTGGGTAGCGCCGATGGGCAGCCGCATGCGCGGCTGACGACACCCAACCAGACGAAGAGGCCACCAACGGCGAGGGCCTGCACAGCAGCAGCAACCCCAAGACCTACAGCAGCGCCATCGTCAGCTGCAGCCCGCCGTCTACTTGGGTAGTAGGCCCGCTCAGGCACGTGATGACTTTTCAGTTTCCTACTGGACTGTTGTTGGTATCAACACACCCATTGCGGTGATGCGGTACTCATAGTGCCGTCCGATTCTAAACGCGGCAATACGCCGTGCGGTACTGCCGTCAAACGCCAACGCTAACGCCACCTCCACCTCCACCCGGCACGGCCGTCAAACGCTCTCTCCTACTCTTTCTCTAGTATAATCGCGGCAACACGCTGCGCGGTAATGCCGTCAAACGCCAACGCTTATTCAATCAAAACGCGACAATACGTCGTGCGGTACTGCCGTCAAACTCCACCGCTCGGTCAAAGGCCGACTACCTGTAGCACATGGGTAGACCCAACCTAGGTTACCAGTAATCCTCAAAAACTGATGCCAGTTTCTAAACTGATGATATGATGTGTGCGTGTAGCATGGTATTAGAAATAGTATTGTGCGTAATGAAATGCAGTGATCGGCGAGGTTTTTGCTTTGTCATCCTGACAGCCGTGCTGAGACCAACTTTCTCTCCCCGGCAATAGCGTGATCAACGTTTTATCTGGGCTCTCTTTGGTAGCTACTTTTTGAGCAGCAGGTTTAGCCTGATCAAAAATGCGTGATCAACGTTTTATCTGGACTCTTTTTGGGTAGCAGGTTTAACCTGATCAAAAACTTTTCATGTCTTGGTTGTGTCAGCGAGTGCCGGAGACGTGTCAAGTCTCAACGAAGTGCAACATTGGTACCTCCACCTTGTTGCAGATTAAAAATTCACAATATTGACGAAATAAATGCTGATTTCCTAATATTGTTGTACGTTGTCTTGAGATTGCTATTTGTTGTGAGATTGCGGTTCCAAAAGTTGTTAAGGTTTTGACTTAGGATTGATTACCCTATGGTTAGAACAGTAGCAGCAGCTTGATTACTATTTTGCAACAGAGGACTAATCAACCTCCGTTTCAGGATGATATTCAGCTATTTATGGTGTGGCGATATCGCATCGGCAATGAATTTCAGACAAACCATTCCACAAGTAGGGTCCGACGACTTGAACGTGTGTTTCATTTATTGTTTTTTCTGCTGCATGCAGTCACTACTTTGCAGAACCGGGGGGAATGTTTGTATGTTTGTGATTCTCCTCAGTAGTGCTGGTTTGTTCGGAACTAATCTGCCGCCATCATCCCCTCCGAACGCGCGACCTGCCCTGCACCACTGCCGAGTCAATCCTCTCGGAGCGACAATTGTTCTTCCCCCAAGTCAGGCGGACGCAAACATCGAAGCTCGAGCCGCGGCCAGCCGGAAAAGATGGCGGAAGGCGACCGCGGCGGAGGCGTGCGAATTGTCCGCGGGGGGGAAAACAATGGCTTGGGCAATGGGTTATTAAGCGCTGGAGCTTGATGATGCGCCGGCAAATGTAGGGGTTTCGAGTATTGTTTTGTTTTGGTATTAGATTGGATTTTGTGTTGATGTTGTCTTTGTTTTGGTATTGGATTTTGGTTTTGGTTTTTGATTTGGTCTGGACTTTCGGACTGGAACTGTTTGGTAATGGATTTTGATTTGGTTTTGGTATTAGCTTTTCGGATTTGCATAAATATTGTTTTTTCTTGAGCTTTCGACTGGATGGACTTTGAATGTGTTATTTTGGTCTGTGTTTCTGACTCCAACCCCTTCTCAAATCAGGGGGGCAGATCCCCCCGAGAAGAGGGGCACACTATCCTTTCAGGAGGAGGAACGGAAAGCTGATGTTTGGTTTCTGGAGTGTTACAATCAAGAAATATTCGCGTTTCACCTGCGGAAGTTGTCTTGACGTTGACCGAATGTTTTGGGGATATTGTTTGATCGGAATTGTGAGAGTAGCATTCGTTCCTGGTCGCGTTTTATCTGCGAACTGGGTACATTCTGTGTGTTCGGAAGCATCAAACATGCATATTTTATCCCTTGCGAAATTCATGTTGTCTTGGTATTCATGTAGGATTTGGGGATGACTGTATGCATCTGCAGTATTTCGAAGGCGATTATCCAGGATTGATCATTGTTTTGGAAAAGAATGATGGAAGAGTTCTTCCATAATTATGTTAACATGAATGGGTTGTTTAATGCCTTTGAGACGTAAGGGATGAAATGTATGGCGAATACAAATGCGACGAGATGCAGAGAGAGCAGATGGACCAATAGCAAAGCGTTTTCTGAGTTGAAGGATGAAGTGTGCTAAGAGACGTTTTTGGTTCAGGAATATTTGCATAATCGAGTTTTTGGTTCATTGTTTGTCACGGACGAATAGGAACGACGTTTTGGTTCGTAAGTGGATTTATGTTGCCTTGCCGTATCATTACGATGCATACGAGCAGGGGGGCTGTTAGATATACTCGTAGCATAGTAATGTGGTTGAGTATGGGACATGGATCTACGGAGATTGCAGTTGGTAGATCGCGGAGGAACAGGGAGTTTCTGCTTGGTTTCTTCGGAGATTCGATGAGTGATCTGAATTGCGTGACGGATAGGTGTGGTGACGCACTCTTCGGCTGCTCGGCCTCGAGTGGTCTCTGCCCTTCCCTCTTCCCTCTAATACAAGACTTTCCCATCTCGGCCCTCACTGGCCGAGCTGCCTTTCTCCACAAACCTACAAGCTTCGGCCTACCCGGTTTATCCAACAACAAACTTCGGACATGCTCAACGTGCTCTCACCCTTGTTTCCCATGTCCTCAGCGGTGTTCTTGGCCTTGTCCGCCTCCTGCCGAAACCAAAACGCGGGAAGAAGGCGAATCGAACAAAGACATGGGCGAAAAATCGAGAAAAGGGGAGTGGGTGTCGTGACGAGTACAGCAGAGCCGTGTGGATTCTAGCAGTCGCAGGTATCAGAACGAGTTGATGTAAAGCACATCGGTGCCGAGCGATATCCATCCGTAATCGGCATCTGGATCGACACGTCATTGAGGATGGCCGGTCTGTCTCGCCTCACATGGAAATACATGAGACTCATGAGCCAATCTTCAAGGACGCCCAGTACAGCATCGCGTCAGCGGTGACTTCACCAACTCATGCTATCTGTGTCCTTCATGAGTCAGGAAGTAGTGTGCAGGTGACTGCTCTAGGTACCGGCTCGTTTGCTTGTCGATGTCTACAAAAAAAACAAGAATGGGTAGGCTGTATATCTACAGCGCAAAGGTGTTACTAGGGCACGGCTATAGTGCAGAGGGACCTGCGTGCCTGCCTGCCAACTACGGAGAGGGTTTCTCGGTCTATCTGATGAGAGAGAGAGCTCGCGTGGCCGGCATGGCTTGCACAGGCAGAAGGCATAAACAATGCTGGCTCCAACTGCTGTTGTTGCCTCCACTGCTGTGTTGGACAGCACTCACGGAAGGGTTTCCCATCACAGCGTTCTTCGCGTCAGTCGCTGCGTTCTTGATGCTGTCCATGGTGAAGAAGTGTGCGCGTGGTTGAGATGTTTGGTAGTGAAGCTGAGTTGACGCGGTTGAGATGGGTAGCGAAAGAGAGAGGGGCGAAAATATGGTAAAGTTGCGGCGGCATCTGTTCTAGACGTTTTGTAGAAGCGGCGGAACAATTTTGGTGGAGGGTCGAGCTCTCGGGGCTCTTGCCGTATTAACAGGAAAAGTTTCGGGTTCGGCAAATGTTAGGAACATGTTAACAGGACAAGAGTCGTGGTCTCTCTCCCCGGGTACAGTTTGGTGGCTGTATTTCAACCCTGGCCAGCCCACAAACCTTCAAATGTCTAGAAAAGTCTGACGTCAGACCCTTCTGTGCTTCAGAACCTTCTAGACTGTCTCACCCCCCCCACGACGACACCGCCCATATGAAATCTCCGGAGAACGCCAGAACGCTCATGCGTTGAGAGCCTTTTGATGTGTGTCGCGGACTGCCCGGCTCCAGTAGTACCATCCACATCCCCACCCATCTCATCGCACAGCCCACTTTCGCCCATTCTTCTCGCTCACTCCACCAAGCTACCATGAAGTTCACCACCACCATGATCGCCGCTCTTGGTTGCATGACTGCGTCGACGAGCGCCTTCGTTGTTCCCTCGGCTGCGCATGCCCGTGGGGGTATGGCCCCTGTGTCTGCTGCACGTCAATCAACGACCCGAGTCCGCAGCTCGATCGACGAGGTGAGATTCCCCACTCGCGTATAAGGTTTGTGGGATTCATAATGAGCTGGAGCGTCAAATCGGACAGTCAAAGGCAGAAGGCAATGATGATGGGCCGCGGAGCGCGGAACGCGAATGGCGACATGCGACATCTGTTCCCTTCATCCCCACGAGGGACGAAAGGCTAAAATATCCAAAAATCGGGCTCGTTCAACCATCGCTACCCTTCCGCGAAATGCCCCGGGGAATCTTATGCCAAAATATTGTCTAGTTGACGAGAACGAGGCCTGTAGAGCACCGATTAACGACGTGCTGGGTTGTGAGGAAGAATCTTGTCGGGGCGTTCTCCGTCACACCGGTTTCATCGCGCTCCGACAACAGATGGCCGTGCTTGACACGCATTTGTTACGTGGCTTATCGGAGCGTCCCCGGGAGTTCGACAAGAGGTGAAGGAACACGAAAACCTTATCCCTTTGGAATGAGGTTATATCTCGAACGGTTAGTCATTCTGTGAGGCTGTGTGTACGTAGCAATCATTATGTATGCAGAGTTGCTCGGTTTGCAACCCGGGGAACACTGAGGAAGCACTCATTGAGCTAAATCAATACGCAACACCGCTGGCGGGGGCAGGACCGCATTGTGGCGAGGGAAGGGAGCCACAAACCCAGCTCGTGGCGAATGTCATCGCCACTGCTGTTGCTTTGGCGTGTGGGGAGAGGGATCATCGGAAAACCAAACCTTTGCGCCTGGGGCAAAAAACTTTACCCGAATTAACTCTGATGATCCTAGCAGAGACAGACTCGGCGTTTTCTTCTTGTGCAGGCTGTGCGCAGCAGCGTTTCTGAGCATTCTACAGCCTCCTCGTCGATGTTAATCTCCACACGAAACGGAGCATGGACATAGCTCGTGGCGGATATTTTTGTTATCCCTGTTACTTTTTTCGTGTGTCAAGAGGGGGGTCGCCCGGATACAAAATTGCTGCTGCCCAAGGGGCAAAAAAGAAGAGCACCGTTTTGGTGCCCAGGGTCATGTTAAGCGTCTTTCCCGCGTGCATGCACCGCCGAGTAGTAGCAAGTAGAGAGATGAGAGTCATTGCCAATACAGCAAAGCAGCAGCTCACAGGTGCAATGTGTAAGCTACGCAATACCCGTGTTCATTTGTGTCTGTATCAGTGCTGCTGTTAGGTGCCGATCGTTGGAGGTCCCAGCTCGGAGGTACTGCTGTTGTTTTGCGAGGCGAGCTTGTTGCTCCTCCGCCCTTGATTTATTTGGAGGATGCATTAGGAAACAAAAATACCAACACAGAAAGGCTACCATTATACATTCGAGCGGACACAACGTGTTGAAAAATCCGATTGAATATTAGACTGTTCGGCAGAGTAAATGCCTGGATTGCGCGTGCTGGGTTGCTGCGTTGCTACCTGGAACGCAGAGAGTCTCGCACTTTGCACAGCATCGTAGATGGACTACTGCAAGTTATTGAGTCGTTTCCCGCTGCTCAATAACTTCCCCCTGTCTAGGATGGGCGAATATCTCCCCACCTTTGCTTCAGTTGAACTTGAGACTGATTCTGTTCCATCACCTGAGTCATCAGGTGCACCTGGTGCAATCAACACACGTCCTGCATTATGAGATGTGGTGGCGCCACAACTACCTTGGCATCGTAGACTTGCTACACTGTTAAGTCTGGAGCCGGTTGGGTCTTCTCCGCCCCCAGTATTGGCGGTGTCGGCTCTTCAGTAGAATAATGAGAAAGCCAGCTGCATTTGTTTGCCCGCGGAACGGCTCTATTTTCCAATCACGAGACGATATTCATTTTATTCTACATAGAAACCATCCACATGCATTTGTGTGCCCGCGGAACGGCTCTGTTTTGCGATCACGAGACGGTACCAATTTAATTCTGCATAGAAACGCACGAGCGGTTGACTGCTTGTATGATTGTAGAATTGGATTGGATTGAAACTTCATACATACGGCCATCGGCGGCCCAGCCTACTTTAGGTTATACTCGGCAAGACCTACCCACGATGATTAACATGCTGATGTGCCACAAAAAGAATCATACTGTACAATAGGCCCACGGGAGTGCCTTCTTTGATAATATGGGGACATTGTTTTTTCGGTGTTGATTTTCATTCCAAGGTCGTGCTTGCCGCCCCAGCCCCGCCCTAGAACGTAAAATCGCTGTGGTGAGGTCGGTATTGTGGTTGGATCCATCGGACCGTTTGATTATGATGCGTACATTTTTTGTCTTCAAACCACAACTTGAGATGTTCACTATTTAACAGCAGGACACCCACTGGAGGCGCGGTGGATGTGGCACGGGGTCGGGGCGTGGTAGAGTAGTATTTTTGTCACATCAGGGCAAGAGTCAACTTTGCACAAAGAATACCCCAACATTCACCACAAATCGCGTCCTGGTTAGTGCGGTGGTGGCGTGCCTGAGTGGTGCCGCTGATAATTATTTACATTCGTTCTTCGCGTCACCCTCCCCCCCCCAAACACAGGGCGCTGAGGCGGCCAAAGACGCCGTGGACGACGTGGGCTCCAAGAGCAAGGACGCGCTCGACAAGGGGAAAAACGCCGCCGCCGACCTCAAGGGCGAAGCGCAGGACGTGGCGGACTCCGCCGGAGACTCGGTAGAGTCCGCCAAGGACACCGTCGAGGACGAGACGAAGGGGGCCGTCGAGGCCACCAAAGACAAGGTCGGCAGCGCCGCGGGTGCCGTCAAGGACGCCGCGGGAAGCGGGGCCAGCGGCGTCAAGTCGGCCGCGGGTAGCGCAGCCAGCGGGGTGAAGTCGGTGGCCGGCAGCGCCGCCAGCGGGGTCAAGGGTGCGGCCGATAGCGTGGGCGGTGGCGTGGTGAAGGTGCGTGCGTTCGTGTGCGTCGTGTGTGGCGACGTGTGTCGGGACGTGTCGAATCCATGAAGGGCTATGCATGCATGAGCGTGAAGTTGATCGCATGCTGTCGAGCAACGAGCTGCACGTCTTTATTACGGGGTATGCTTCCACAGCAGAAAGATGGGTGATATGATCATGTTGCTGCTGATAGTCTACGTGGTGGAACAGCGTGTCTCGTGTGTTGCCCCCCTCACCTCGCCTAGCACACTTCGCCCTGTCTCCTGCCCCCTCCCCCCCCCTCATCTTGGTTTCTCATCATTTTCCCCCCTTCGCGTGTGCATTTATCCCATCCCCAACAGGGCGCCGACAAGGTGAAGGACGCGTTGAGCAGCGACGACGAAGAGTGAAAAAGAGGGCGGGAAACAACCCAGCCCAACCCAACCCTACCCCCGTTATTGATGTATTTCGCCCAAGTTGGGCGCGCCTTTTCTTCGGCGTCTTGAAATAGAAAAGGTATCTTACGAAAATACTCCGGAGTAGTACGGAGGAACGCGGTACGCAACGTACGTACTTCTAGAAGGTGGCGACAACGGCAGGTCGATGGTGAGGATTTCGGGTTGTGAAGCTTGCTAATGGCTCAACCGTGTGCAAATGCGGTGGCTTATGCCCGGCGGGACACACGAATTTTTTGCTGTCCTGGTCTTCATATTTTTCATCCAAGCTGAGTAGGCTAGCGCTTTGTTTCTTGAACCGATTGATGTTTCGGCACAACCATCGGCCGCGGCAGAGTCTTGTAATTTCCCTGGACTTTTGAAGCCGGGCCCTCTTTCGGATTCCTGCGTGATGGTAGAAATAAGGTTCTGCGTAATAGGTTGTTGCTACCCGAGCTGGTGATGACAATGGACAAGGACATCAACGTAGGAGTTGGTGAGGGTTTCTTATTGATGGGCATCGAGGTTGATGTCGTCCCTCAGTCATGCACGTTGGTAAAGGCAGGAAGTACACCCGGTAGTGTCGAAGGACAAGCATGGTTTGATAACACCGTCACGCCTGATCGGCCTTGTGTGCTAAGGGTTCTGCTTATTTTCGAAGATGCAGGAGCCACCTAGAATAGAATTTGTTGTTCCCTGGCGTCCAGCACAATTTGATCTGTCTCGAACACCGTAGACGTCTGAGTTCCCCCCCCCCACTAGGGTTCCAGAGAAAATATCCCCCCCCGGGCATTTCAATTTTCCCCCAGGTTACCAGTTTTCCACGAGTTCTTCCCGGGTTCCCTCCGGGGGGGATGAATTTCCCTCATTTTCTGAATCGATTTTGTTGCATCGCGGAGCACAAAACGCCTGAGATATGGGACGGAAAATTCATTTAGGTGAACCGTTTGTTACTTGGTTTCGCTGTGTTTTTTCCAAGGCTACCAACCTGGCGGGAAGCGCCGGGGGGGGGGCTTCCCGCCAAGGTGGTAGCGTTGGAAAAAAACAACCCCCCCGCCGTACGTCAATTTCCCTCCCGGGGGGTTGGCTTCAGATAAAACGATCTCCTCCCTGGGGGGAAAACTCCTCACTACACGTGGCCGTTTCAAACCCACGACAGAGGTTTTTAATGTACATCAAACCCTGAACAGAATTTGAAACAAAAATATTTTGCTTTTGCTTGTGCAGGCTTAAATATCTTCCACTTCACTTTGAAGGGGTTCTTGCCAACCTGCCCTCTGAAGAGTCTACCAAGAAAAAGGTCACAGAGGGTGACTATGCCTTTCCCCATGGAGTAAGGTATACACACGCGAAACAAGTTCCGGGATCTCACATGCATCAGCGGGGCGGGTATGACGTTATTAGATTTATTGGGGGTACTCGTAGCATAGTATGACGGGTAGGATCTTCAGTACATATGCGGAGGAATCAGAGAGATCCGCTTGGTAGTTTGAGCGTGATGAGCGTGACGCTTGCTTGATGCCGTGACAGATTTACGAGCATGAGCACGCCCCCTAAGAATACAATACGTTTTCCTATACGTCCCTCCCCTACCACGGCCCGTCGTGGCCCAGCTGCTCTACACTCCCAACGCACAGAACTGAGCCACTCGAATTATCGATCACGCTAGCGTATGACACGTCAACGATATTCCCGTCGAGCTTAGTTTGGAGTTACATCGCTTCGCGGCGATCAGCAGCAGTCACCAATGAGCACCCCCGACCGAAACCGAGACCGAGAGAGCGACCGTGAAGCAGTGGACGACGCCCGGATCAACGAGTTGGTAAAGGAGATGGTGGCAGCAAGACTGGCGGAGATTACAAGGCAACAACCTGTCAATCACCATGGGGTTGCATGATTTTTGCTCTGCGCACCCGGTTCAACCGTACAACCCCATGACACCGAGTCGGGATGAAGGCAAATTCGAACAAACACATGCATAACCTCTTTACTTGGGACGCGACAACCAGGTGATGTTGATCTTCTTACGAAACGCAAAACTCTCGATTAGCTGTCTCTTCAACTCTGCATGGTCCGGGTGCCGCTCCTTTCTCACGTGCCCCCCCTCCCCACACTCTTCCTCCTCCCCCTCCTTCGGTGGCAGCAGCACTCCCTTCGACCCAACAGAAGTGTAGTCGGTGAGCGGGTCATGCTCCCAGGCGTCGCGGTGCCCAGCGCTCCCTGTCCAGTCCGTGTTTTCCTCGAATACGTCCAGGCCGTCGAACGTGTGGAGCATGTTGTGCAGGATGCAGCATGTGACGAATATGTTGTTGTCGATGTATTCTCGTTTATGGTATAGCATGCGGAGCTTGAGGATTCTGGAGCGGCCCTTCAGAATGCCAAAGAAGCACTCCACATACTTTCGCACACTCTCAAGATGCCTTGAAAAGGCTGCATCCTCGTTGCTCTGCGGGTACTTGGACGGGGCGATGAGGGATACCCACTGGTGTACACGCGAATTAGACACAACACAGGGGCCAAACGAACGAAGAACGTGAACGGTCAGTTTGAGCGAGTACGGCTCACAAGTGAAACTCTCTGTGCACTACCGGCACGTACTTCGAAGTTTGTGCAACAAGATAGGCTGTGGTGTTGCTCCAAACCCTCTGCACCTGCCTTGTATGCTAAGCCCCATTTTATTGTGCATGGCATTCAGATATTCCGCACCCAAATCAGCACCATCTCGCTCGAAGGGAGCTTTCCCACGATATTCTTGTGGTGGACTACACATGAAGTACTTGGGGACGGACATCCTGTGATACGAAAGCCTCAGCGTGAACGAGGATATCAGGGTTTATTGGGAGCCGACTTTGGTGCGCAGACTCATGTGTGTGCGTGTTCTCACACGTGTAACAGGGGCAACAAGAACATCTGAAAATATCCCGAGCGTCTGAAAACGCAGCGACTACAATAAACTGCCAGTAACATTTGAAGGCCCATCAAAGCAACACCGACTTACCTCGTGGTACCCGTTGTCCACGATCAAGAAGCATCCGCGGCGCGTTCGCTCCGTGCAGTTCACCTTGCGAAGTTTGTACTCCCGTTCCGTGTACTGGCTCTCTGTTGATCTTGTTGACTCCCGAGTCGTACCGGATGATCGTTTTGTCATTCGTCCCACCGGTGAAGCCGTTGGTAACGGCTAAAGCGCGTCCAGCGTGGTCGACCGTAAGCTCGTAGGCGATGGTTGGAAACCCCTCCTTGCCCGTGAAAGAACGGTCAAGGGTGAAGGGGCACATGTTCCAGCCAATGTGGGTGACATCCGTGGACCCACACGCTCCCGTACACCCTAGTTGGTGAAAGATCCCCACAACTTCGTCCAGGTACGTCCCGGTCGGGAGGTAGATGTGCTCGTCGAACATCTCCGTCGCAAAGTGACGGCAGAACTTGTGGAACGTTGCTTGTGCCATCGAATTGCTCATCTTCGACAGCTGCTTTACGTCGTCGAAGCAGTTGCCCTTGCCGAGCACCTGCAGAGCCGCCAATATCTGGAGAAAAATGGAGTGTTATACATGTTTGTGGAAGGTGGACAAGAAGAGAGCGGTGAGATACCGCTTGCATACAAGGAGGCCAGCTGTTGGTGCCAACCAGTACACTCGACCCCCCGACCACCCCGGGAAGGGCACCACAAGAGAGGCCAACATGCGGTCCAGCTGTAAGCAAGCACGCGGGCCATTGCGTTTTCCCTAACGTTGTGATTCAAAATCAAGTTACGTATGCCAACAGCAGGGGCGCTGCAACACTCTGCATCGGCAACCTTGCTACCCTTGGTTGCACTACGCAAGAGAGAGAGAGAGAGAGAGAGAGAGAGAGAGAGAGAGAGAGCGAGAGAGCGGCTGGGGGGGGTGTACTCATAGTCGTGCATGCCGTAGTCGTTAGACCATTGACCTCGCATCCCTACAAAGCCGGGACGGAGCACGCCGGGTTCTCACCGGACCAGGCTCTCACATCACCAAGCGCGAAGCGCCGTGAGATATTCGGCGAGTCGCATGAAGGGTGCGCTGCATCCTGCTAAGGGTGTTCGGCATCTTGTGCTTACTTCCTTGCGTACGGATGACAGCTGCGTATGACTTAATTTATTTTCTGGTGCTTTCACTTCCAGAGACAGTTGTAAGCACTGTGTAACTGCCTCGAGGGTGCTTGACCATTTCAACACAACGTGGTGCGATCATCCCCCTTGCGCGGAGTGAGGGTTCTCCACCCCGCACAACATGATCTACTCGACCACCATTATGGTTACCGCCAAAAAAAAAACCGAAGGTAAAAAAAAAAAACGGTAACCTGGTTGCCGAGTTCACGAAGTGAATTGGCTTGTTTTACAACGTCGTTGCCAAGCGACGAAAACCCAACCCCGATGGCAAACACCGGGGGGGGCGGCTTGTTTTACAAAGTCGTTGCCAAACGACGAAAACCCAACCCCGATGTCAAACACCGAGAGAGCGGCTGGGGGGGGCAATAGACCATGTACGACGAACTTAACGTGGAACGGACACTGAAGGATGTTCACGAAGTACAATATCAGAAAATATATCAGGAAATCAAAGAACGAACCTCCCCGGCACATTCGAAGCTCTGATGCGGTCAATACAGAGATGTTGGTATTTCTGTTGGCACACAGGAACCTGAAACTGTACAGAGTTTCAGCATGGACTAGTCTAAAGGAAGGCGCGAGGCTTGATCTGCCTAGTCTTGCTTTGTCTACCGCATGCAGAAGTGTTTGGGTACTGCAGCATGTAGGCGTTCCGTCTACTAACCCCAGCTACAGTGTTGCTGCCGTAGACATGGACCCTCCTTGTTCCTCTACTCTTTACGTCAGGCGACAGGCGTGCAGTAGGAGGTTCGTACACACGGACGGGTAGACGTGCGTACCTTCAGTTCGAGTGGGATTCCTTCGCGGTTAGCTGCATCCTTCTCCCCCGGCGAAAACCACCGCTTCGCCCTTGACAGCTTGACCAGTTCTTGAAAGAAGGGGTAAGGTACACGAAAGCGCTCCCGATACACTTTTGCAGCGGCCGTAGTGTGGTCGGCGAGGTCGACATCCTGAAGCTGCTCCCACCAGGCAGAGGTACGCCAATCCCTCCGCTGCGTGACGCGTCGTGTCCTCTTGACCTTCGGGCCGACGACTTCCTCCTCGTCCTCCGAATCCTCGTCGAACAGCACAGCACCCCAATAGGATACCGAGCGTGCTGTGTGCCGGCGACCATCCTCCTCTTGGATCTGGTGCAAAGCCGCCAACGCGACTGACAGCAGTACTGTTGCTTCCAACAGATCTCCGGTCCCCATATCGGGCGCACCGCGCTGACAACAAAGCACCGGGTCTGCNCCCCAATAGGATACCGAGCGTGCTGTGTGCCGGCGACCATCCTCCTCTTGGATCTGGTGCAAAGCCGCCAACGCGACTGACAGCAGTACTGTTGCTTCCAACAGATCTCCGGTCCCCATATCGGGCGCACCGCGCTGACAACAAAGCACCGGGTCTGCGCGTGTGAGGCGCTGTGCTAGGCTGTCACGCGCTGTGCTGTGCTGTGCTGTGCTGTNCAACTGCGCAGAGCGTTTCCACTTCTTTTGGCCCGAGTTGAAAATTATGTTTCTTAAAAAAATCGATTTTACAAAACCGTAAGAAGTTCTGTTCGGCTGGGAATTAAACATCACAATTTTTCAGCTGGAATTTTCAAACCGTAAGAAACGGCCTCATGGCATGTACATTTCTTTCTCGACATCTCAGCG